ATAACATTGATAATATATGTATGACATTTATGACATTGATAATATATAATATAAATCTCATTTATAACACTAATAGTTTTTGAAAAACACACAGGAATATAATTCTTAGCAACCTACATTGACAAAAAGTCATTAAACTAATATAACCATTTTAGAAAATGTTTTATGGAATTGACTAATTAGGAAAATTTTGAAGGCATGACCTAATCAATAATTCTTGAAGAGGATAATATATACGACTAATCCAAATCATAAGACTATATGGTCGTGGGACCTAGATGTATCATAAGCTAGAGAAATAATCAAGTAAATTACTTATTAAATTTCTAAAAGATTATCTTTCATTTCTAATGGTATATAAACGACTAGACACTTGACCATTATTGCTCATCTGAATAATGCAATCAAATACACTCAGCAACAGGAGTAATAATTTTAAGTTACATAGCCACTCATATAATAGATTCTGGTTTCACGATGTAACCTCATATCTGAATTTATTATGTTAGATAAACTGATAGAACGTAAACACTAAAAATTTTTGAAGAAATAATTATGCAAATATATTGAAGCCTTGAGTTAATTTACAAGGTAAGAATGCCATATTAGAAGTGAATTATGTAATAACTAGAAAATAAGGACAGAGTGATATGATGAAAGCAATTAAGATTTTATATACGTATTAAAAATTTACTGTTTTTCAAATAACAAAAAGGTAGCTCGTAAATGGTGAAGAAAAAAAAAATATCCATGAAATAATAAAATATTTAATTTTTTATAATATTATATTTATTTTAAATAAATAGATGGCGATAAAGATTTGAATGATAATTGTTCCTTATATCTATTATAAAAAGCATTGATTACTGAATTGTATTAAAGACATTAACTGTTTTATCCTATAACTGCCAATTGTGCCTGTAAAAGTGCTATTTTACCAAATATTTTGTAACCAATTCTATATAATAGAGGATTATCAACTATATGTCTAAAATAATTTTAAAATACAAAATATCACCATCATAAATAAATTCTTCCAATTACATTGTCATAATCAACTAAAATAAGATGATATTACATCTTAAATAATTTTTTATTCACTATCAAAATCTGGGATCCAAACCGAAACGAATATCGGTTCGGGTTCGGATAAAATAACGGTTTAAGGTTATCGGTTCGGTTCTAACCTCTAAGAACCGGTTTGAACACTTTTGTATCCAAACCTACATTCGAATTATGTATAGGGAAAATATTTTTTTTTATTTTATCATTAATTTAAAAAAACACATGTATAAACCTTTATTTTTATTAATTGCACATTACAAAATAATATTTAATTTATAAATAAAAAAATAAGAATATGTTTTAATGATTAATTTTAATATGAACAATATTTTACTTTTTTTACTTAAATTCTTTTTATTAAGCCGCACAATTAATATATTTTCTAAATTCGTCTCACTCAAGTTACACTATAAGGATATAGTATAAATTAAATTATTGAAAAGCATCTTTCCACACTGACTTGGGTAGATAGCACTGCCAATATGATATCAGATTTGATGTGTCATGTATAATAATATTTTGGATTAAATTTTTCTCTAGGCATTATAATTTACAAGTTTAAAATCTTTTAAAAAAATGTTGTAAAATGACAATATACTAAAGTTTATAAAAATTATTACCGACACTTATCACAATCAAATGTGATTGATGATAATCTTTAAAATAATTAGAATGTAATGATTTTACTATTAATTAAAAACATATATATAAAACCTTCATTTTTATTAATTGCACATTATAAAATAATATTTAATTTATAAATATAAAAATATATATCAATGATTAATTTTAATATGAACAATATTTTACTTTTTTACTTAAATAATTTTTTATTCACTATCAAGAATCTATAAAAATCATAGTATACGATAAAAATAATTTGAGAAATGAGCCAGATGGTGAAAATAAGATTACAATAGCTCCACCAAAAAAAATGTTTAAGTCTTTTCATATATCTCAATCAAAATAAAAGGTATTTAAATTTTGTTTTAATAAATTTTATAATTATATTAGTATATATTTATAATTTCTTAAAAAATTACAAATCTACTCTGGTGGGGTCTCACAAACTTCAATCTGTCACAAAATGCTTATATCTTAAAAACTAATCAACCGAGATATATGAAATTTGGTAATAAAAATTCTTAGATATATTTGATGAAGCAACTGAAGAATCCAGATCATAATAACTGTTTTTATGTAATATCATTTCTAGCATGCCTGGGTTTCAAATACCCCACCAGAGTATTGAAGGGTTAAAAAAAATGAAAATTAATACTTTGACTTTTCTAATTGTTTGGAGAAGGAAATAATGCTTGTTTTTCTAAAAGATTTATTTATATATTTCTCTTAAATTTTTATAAAAATTGTTTCTTACAAAACCTGACAATGTTGAGCGAATTTCCCCATCAATAGGTCTCTTATTCCGTTTACGCATCCGAGAGTTCATTAATTATCGCGCGATTTAATTTTATCGTATTCCATCTAATTAAATGATTTAATTAACGCACAAATTTAGCCTTGATTGATTCAATTTATATATTAGATTTTCTCAATAAATTTTAAAAATTGAATCAATTTTAATGTAAACTTCAAATAAAAAATCCCAAAATATTAACTAACGATATAAGTACAATAATATAATATTAAATTAAACATGTTAAGTTTAAATTTCAGTGAAGATGCACCATAGAAAGTGACAATTGTAATAATATTTATTTTTCAACTTTTTTGATAATTTTTAAAGCAAACTAGTAAATATAAAATACATAAAACATGACAGAAAGAAATTTACACATTAGATATATTTTTTGAATATATATTTAAAATTTATTTTAAAAATATAAAAATAATCAAATACTGTCTCTCAAAATTATTATTTATATATTAAAAAAATTAAAATACTTTAAAAAAAATTTGCGGCAGATTTTTGTAGAAGATTTCTAATTGCGGTAGTCTGCGTGTAAACTAAATAATTGCGGGAGTCTCCCACAGATGGGGGGAGACCTGGCAACCTTGGTTATAATTATGAAAATAATAGGCTTACCTAAAAAAACAAATTGACTTAAACTTAATTAGACAATAAAATTTGGTTGAAAATAATTAGCTAAGGCTAAGCCGATTGTTTTAATATTAAATATTTTCGCTTGCGGATATAAAATTATTTGCGTCTAAAGAATAACAAGTGATAAAAAAGGTCAATTAATTTATACTCTACATCAATTGATAATGGTTTTTACAAACAGCAAAAGTAAATATAAATCTTAGCAACCTAAATTGACAAATGGTCATAAAACTAATATAACGTTGTGTTGCCATTTTATAAGGAAAAATTTGTAAGCATAAAAAATCAACAATTCTTGAAGAAGAGAATATAAACGACTAATCGTTATGGAAGCTGGATAAGTAATCGAGAAAATTATTGTGATATATTAAATTCCTAAAATATTATCTTCCATTTTTAATGGTATATAAACGACTAGACATGGCAATTATTGCTCATCTAAATTATGAAATCAAATGCTCTAAGCAGCAGGAGTTAATCTTAAATTAAATAGCCACACCAATAAATAATGCTGGTGAATTTGCAGTCATAGCCATGACATTCATGATGTAAACTCATATCAGAATTTATTATGTTTGATATATTGATAAAACAAAAACACTAAAAATCTTTATAAGAAATAATTATGCAAATATATTGAAGCCTTGAGTTATTTACACGGCAAGGATGCCATATTAGAAATGTAACTAGAAAATATGGACTAGAGTTTTAATGAAAACAATTAAGATTTTATATATTATTGTCCCACCGCCTCTAGTTGGTATATTATATTTTAAAATAATAGTAATTTGTAATAATATCAAAAGTATACTCGTATTAAAAAGTTAACTTAAAGCTGTTTTTCAAAGAAGAATCAATATAACTCTTTCCTAAAAACAAGTAAAAAAAGACAAAAAAAGATATCGATGAAATAATAAGATATTTAATTATACAATAATATTTTTATTAAAAATATATAGATGGCGTTAAAGAATTGAATGGACATTGTTAATGTTTATTATCAAAATTGATTAGTAAAGTCTAATTAAAATATTATCTGAAATATATTCTATAACTGTCAATTGCCTGTAAACGTGGCATTTTAATATTTTCGAAATAATTCTATATAATAGAGGATTATCAACTAGATGACTAAATGTATTTTTAAATTATATAAAACATAATTTTTTTCAAATTAGGAGAAAAATATATAATTTAGTAAATAATATAATAGAAATTATATAAACAATATTTAAAGAATGAATCCTAAATGATTTTAATTATTATATACGTCCAATCTATTTATTTTAAAAAGTAAATAAAATACTTTAGCCCTTCTAATTATTTAGAAAAGAAAATAATTGTTGTTTCTCTATTATTTAGTTCTAAAAAAATAAGAATCTTAGATCAAACTACTACACTTGTGTCAAGATTTTATTTTAACTGAAACCCCGCAGTTGGCTAATGTATTTAATTCTGATCCAAATAAATTTATCTGATCGATTCGACTATTTGGTCCGAAAGTTCATATGATTAGAAACCTAAACCTTTCTGCCATCTATGAGCAAAATCACCACTTACACAATATTGTTTTGTTAATAATCTTAATTGAGCCGTTTTTAGCCAAATTGGGCTTTTTAACAACACTATTTAGGCACCTCAATATTATATAAAATATTATTAAATTTATGCGTTGTAATATTATTACTTTAAATCCATAATCTACTAAGTTTACCTATTTTATATTGCCCAATATTAGTTGGAAACATGTAATTTTTTATTGTTTTTTCTTTAAAAAAAAATCAAAGTCTGCTTGGTTGACGGTTAAAATATATGTGTTCCTCGAGCATGTAATTATGTTTTTTTTTGAAACAACGCTTAGAAAAAAACTTTGGTTTTGGACTATGACGATAAAATATGCTTTAAAAATTTCAAATTTATAGGATGAAAATAAGTGTGAATTTTGGATCAATGAGCTTGATAGTACCTTGTGGAGATGGTCAAATAACTATTTCTCAGTTAATTGAAAAATCAATTCAAAAATATCAAAAGCTATCATTCATTGTAAATTTATTATATATTTAATTTAACTTTTATCAAGCTTCTATATAAATTTTCATCATACATTTATTACTATATTGCATAAATTTCTAAAAATATCTTTAAATCATATTAGGTTAAATTAAATCATCATAATTTAAGATATATTATCTATCTTATTTAAAATGTTAAAAATATATTACAAGATATAAAATAATCTTTATTTTCTTGACAAAAGATATAGATATGGATACTTTTTTATATGTCTTTAAAAAATTAAACATTCACTTAACACATGGATTCTTGCATTAATTTTGTTGTTTTACTTCTATCTTTATATTTAAAATTAATATTCATTAATTTTAGTTGTTATACTTCTATCTTTATATTTAAAATTAATATTCAGTAATTATATATACATCCTAGCAACTGTTATATGCAAATTAGATAATTCAATCTAAACATTTCATGTAGAGATCTGCAGAGCTTGGCTCATCCAAAAGCCTTTGCAGGCTTGGCCAGAAAATTTACAAAAATTTAATGGGGCATGGTAGATTTAAATCAGTTATAATGGGTTAACCCATTAAAATTTTTAATAAAAAATGTAATGAGTTTGACCAGGAAAAATTTAACATAGTGGACCAAGTAAATTATGCAAAAAATCTTAATGGACCATGGCGGGTTTGCAGACCTCTAATTTATTGTTCATATTTATATTTTTATATTAATCAGTATATAAAAATATTAATCTTATTTTAATTTTATATACTGTCCAACATTTTGGATTGCCATTTGGGTAGGGAAATATTTATGTCATTCTGATTTTTAAAATTTTTTTAAATGTCTTTTTTAGTTTTCATATTTATATAAATGATATTGTAAGCATATTTTCTAGTTATAATATGATGTGTTTGGTGTGTATTTTGAAATAATTTAATAAAAATTTCTAAATAATTTGAAAAATTTTGGGATAGTTCCTTTGGGAAAATAGATTAAAGAATAATTTTATTTTTTATATTTAGAATTTAACATTCAGCTAGTTGATATAATCAACAATATAGTGTTTATCTTGGTTTGGTTTATACATATCTCCATTTCTATTTTTGTTGCTGGTGACGCCTGACCCAAGTACATGGGCTGGGCTGTATTTTAAATATACTTGGGTCGGGCCAAAAATTTAATTAAAAAATTACCCAGGCCAGGTCTAAAAATTAAAAAAAAATATCTGGGCTTGGTCGTATATTTTTAAAACCAAATATTTTAAATCGTCATTATTAGATATGAAAAAATTAAAAATAAATATAATATATTTTTAAAAAAAATTCAGACCTGGCTAGGCCTAAATATATAAAGCCCGGGCTGAGACGAAAAATTCGGGCCCAGTCGTGCCATGTAAGGCCACATTCATAGTGGATCTGATCCGATACGATTTAACAGCTGATCGATTTTTAAAATCGGTTTATGAGAATCAATTTTTCTTTATTAAAACTAATATTTCTTAGGTTATTATCATGTATAGAATTAAAGACAAAATTAATATTATCACAAAAAAATTGATCTCATAAACAGATTTTTAAAAATCGATCAGCTGTTAAATCGTGTAGGATCAGATCCCACTATGAATGCGGCCTAAATGGTAACTCTGCAAGTCTACGAAATAGCTATTCAATAATAATATCAGAGTTGTTAAGAGATACTTTTTAAATGGATCGAGATACAGATACAATGACAAAAATGATATCTAGATACAAATTATTTAACCAAAAATCTTTCTAGATACAGATACCACATTTTTATATCTAGATACAGAATCTAGATACTTGTATTGTATCTAGATCCTTTAACAACTCTGAATACTATATTCGTATCAGAAACAAACAAACCAGTGTGACCCATAAACCAGGCCTGGTGCCCTTTTGGCTATATATTTATAGTCGTTATTTTTTTTTTTAAAGTTATTAACTTTTATACTAATTTTTCTTTCAAATTCTTCCTTACAATGATATTTGAGGAGATAGGGAGGGCGTGTTGGGTGACATTTTTATTAGCTCAAAATGCTATTTACGAGAACAGAGGTGGGATTTCTCCCTTCCACCCTCACTTGGTTATGCGCCTGCTAGAGCCTCGATAATGTATCACCAGATGATTAAATTTCTATACCTTGGTCTTTAGGTAAATCCTTTGTGACTTCACGTGCGTCTCTTAATTTCCCAAAAAAAATGTAAATTCTAATTTTGTCGAATATAGTTGAGAAAATAAAAATATTTCTAAATTAAACAATTTATGTTTTTTTTAACCAATCGTCATCTCTTCCGCTTGGAACATATGGCGGAACTTTAAATTTTTTTTAAAAAAAATATTGGCGGCAAAATAGGAGCTCCTTACATCAAAAATCCAAGGATTTTTATTTTTTTTAAAAAAAATAAACAAAAAAAATTTAAATTACTATTTTTTTGGGGGAACTTTAAGTCCAAATTCCGTTTTTTTATCAATGACATATTATAATACCTAGACTAACGAACGATGCATTCATTAAAAGTGTACATCAATGAAAACAGCTGGGGACGCCATTTTGATTGCTCGTATCATTATTTAAAAATTTTTAAACGAGAGGCCAATTTATTTCCTATGTCTCGACGCAAGCTTTATCAAAGAAATGTCTGATCATCGAGATGATAGGGAAGCAAAGTTATCTATTTAATAGTTGTTTTTAACGTGAAGAATAATCGCTAAACGAGTTACCAAAATGGCGGATCCAGCTGATTTGTATTCGACGACGCTTCCATATGCATTATTATGAATGCAACGTCGGCCCTCGGTTTTATTGTATGACGTCATTGGTTTTTTATTAAGAATTTTGTAATTTTTAAATTTATAAAAATGATTTTTTTTAAAAAATGCCGCCGAAGAAATTAATTAAATGATATCGATCCAATCTAATACATTTTTACAGAGTTGTTAAAGGATCTAAGTATCTAGATCCTGTATCGAGATACAAAAATGTGGTATCTGTATCTAGATAGATTTTTGATTAAAATATCTGTATCTGTATCTAGATACATTTTTGATTAAAATATCTGTATCTGTATCTAGATAGATTTTTGATTAAAATATCTGTATCTGTATCTAGATAGATTTTTGATTAAAATATCTGTATCTGTATCTAGATAGATTTTTGATTAAAATATCTGTATCTGTATCTAGATAGATTTTTGATTAAGATATCTGTATCTAGATAGATTTTTGATTAATATATCTGTATCTAGATAAATTTTTGATTAAAATATCTGTATCTAGATTATTATTTGAAACGATGTATCTGTATCTAGATCCATTTAAAAAGTATCTTTTAACAACTCTGCATTTTTATAAACCTAAGTAAATGATATTTTTGTTTTAAACTTAAAACTTAAATTTTAGTCCTTTTAATTGATTTTTTTATTTTTGTAATTGAATATTTATTTAATTTTTTTTATTTTTGTAATTGAATATTATTTTATTTTCTTAATTTTTTTTATACTTTCCCCATAAAATCCATTTTTTTTATATTTATATTAAAATAAACTAACAAGAATATAATATTAAACAATTTAAAAAAAACAAAATAAAACAAAACATGTTTTTTTTAAAGAACACGAGTGGTGGGAAGGGGGGTCAAAAAAGGGGGCTATTATTGAGACCCGAGGAAACTAAGATAGTTGTCTAGAAACACAGCTGATTGTAACATTTTAACAAAGGATCCATGATCAACCATTAATTTGAGAAAATTTTATAAAAAAATGATAGTCTAGGGGACCCGTTGGTAGAAATAACTTGTTGGGATAGGGTGAAAACCAGAAAAATGGTGGTATATTTTCTAATTTTTGATCTTTCAGCTGTTAAAATTGGATCAATGTTTGGGTTAAAGGAAAATTGAAATTCCGAATAAGGGGGTTTCCCTCTAAACCAAGGTGAGCCCATCCGGTCTTTTCTCATCGGACGGGGTTAAGTGGACCTGTTTCAGATGGTTAGGGTATTTGGTCAAAATTATAATTATTAATAAAATATATATTTTTTTACAACTTTACTCTAATTAACAATTATTTTATAATTATCTCTCTTTCATGTGTACGAACGAATTTTTTTAAAAAAAGAAAACAATTTAAAAAATTTTTGATATAGAAAATAAAATTAAAAAAAATTGATTTATTTAAAACTTTGGAGAAACGATGTTCGAAAATGGAAAGGCGAAAAAATCGAATGAGAAAATTTGTCGCGAAAGAAGAAAAAAAAACTTTATTTAAAACTTTGGAGAAACGAAGTTCGAAAATGGAAAAGTAGAAAAATTAGTAGATTTGTCGGGAAAGAAAAAAAAAACTTTATTTAAAACTTTGGAGAAACGAAGTTCGAAAATGGAAAAGTAGAAAAATTAGTAGATTTGTCGGGAAAGAAAAAAATACCTTATTTAAAACTTTGGAGAAACGAAGTTCGAAAATGGAAAAGTAGAAAAATTAGTAGATTTGTCGGGAAAGAAGAAAAAAAAACTTTATTTAAAATTTGGAGAAACGAAGTTCGAAAATGGAAAGGCGGAAAAATCGAATGAGAAAATTTGTAAGAAAATAAAGAATAACTTTACAAATAAATATCTGTACTTTCACACACACCTGTAATTTATTTTGTAATTTTTTTTTGACCCACTTTTTAAATATTTCTTTCTTTCTCTTTATCATCTTCAAAATAAATTTTATTGTCATTTTTTAAAATTAATTTTTAAATGATTTGAAAATTTAAGAAGCCCCCCTTGAGTCTAATTACTAATAAAAAAATTTATAAAAAAAAATATTGTAAATTTAAAAAATACAATTATTTTATAATTGAGTTCCCAAAAGGGAACCATAATTATTGTTTCAAAAAAAAATATTTTTATTTTGTTTTGCGGCTAAGAGAATTTAGTAATTCGTAACATCTCGATTTAGCGAACGGTGATATCTTTTTTTTTATCCCCATCTCTCTATTCTTTTCCATTCTTTTCTATTCTTATTCCATCCTTTATATTTAATTCATTATATAGCCCCTTCCCCCCCTAAATACTATTTATATTAATCAAAAATCCTAAAAAGGAACCTTAATCATAATTTATAAATACATCAATTCGAATTTTTTTTTTGGCGCGAGAGAGATATTAGTAATTTGTATAGTGTTGTTATAACCGCTCATTTTGAGCCAATTTTTAAAAACGGCGAATAGCTAGATTTTTAATGAGAAAAATATTATGGCAAGTCTCAGATTTTGTTCATAGGTGGCACAACAGTTTGAACATCTGTTAACGAAATCTCGAGTAGCCGGTTTTCAAAAATCGGCTTTTATCCGAGCCGTTTAACAACACTATTCGCTATTTAGCGAATGGGTGATATTTTTTTTATGTTCATCTTTTCCATTCTTTTTTTTTAAAAAAAAAATTATATCATTTCTTATTTTATTTAAAATCTTTTCTACACGTTTATTTTTAAAAGTGAATTTTTCCCAAAATATAAAATTTCTCGAGAGAAAACGGTCTAAAAATTATCCGCTTAGATACCCCTTACCCAAGCCCGGATTTGTTTATTTGACTCGACCCGTTTTATTTTTATACTCGAGACCGGTTTTTTTGGGTGGGTCTATAAGATATTGCATAATTTTTTATAAATTGTTTATAAAGGGAAATGGAGAATATGAGCACTGAATCTATGATTCTCCGGTTGATTCCTATAATTTAAGAGTACAAAATATTCTTAGGGCCACCCAGGGTTCTCATTTTTTCTTATTCTTCAATTATAAGACCCGGATAATTTTGCGACCTATTTGACCTGGTTTATCAACTGCCGGTTTCTGATTTAAACGGATGGCATCTTCGATTGCATCTATAATAAAAAAATTTGCAATTGTTGATTGCCAATAATCAATCAATCAATCAATCAATAAGTTACCTATCAATATTTCTTATATATTTTTTTTATAAAAAAAATATGTTATTGATGATGATGAGTGGGTGATAGTATTTTTGGCTCGATATTTTTAAAGATAAAACATTTCGTAATTAGCGCATGCGCTCAATGATAATACTTGTAAAATGAAAAGAAAAGAAAAAAACGAAGAAAGAAAAATAATAATAATAAAAAAAAAATAATGTAAAGAAAAGATGATAAGAATGTGATTATGAAACGTAGATTATAAATTTATTTTTTTAATTTTGTAAACCAAACTAAACCAAACCTGATTAGGAAGAAGAGATAAAATAAAATAAAAAAATTTTTTTTAAAACTCCGCGAGGAAAATAATAATCGATTACATATAAAATTTTATTTTGAGTTTGAAATGGATAGTACGTTTTATCATCGAAAAAGGCGAGTATTCATTTTTTAAGGAGCTTTGTTTAATGGAAAATAAAAAAAAATGAAATATAATCCCATCTACCATAGTTTTTTTAAAGTTTTTTATAGTTTTTTTAAAGTTTTTTTAAATCTTATCAATGAAGAAATATAATCTCATCATGATTTGCATTTAGATTTACCGTAATAGTTTTTTTTAAAGTTTTTTAAAGTTTTTTAAAGTTTTTAATAGTTTTTTTTTCTGAATCTTATCAATGAAATATAATCTCAAATGATTCGCATTTAGATTTGTCGTTATAGTTTTATTTAAAGTTTTTTTTCTACACTTTTAAATCTTATCTTTTAAATTTTTAGGAGCTTTATATAATTGGAAATATATATAGCTATTTTCAAATGAAATATAATCTCATATCATGTATTACATTTAGAATTACCGTAATAGTTTTTTAAAAGTTTTTTAAAGTTTTTATAGTTTTCTAAATTTTATCAATGAAATATAATCTCACATGATTTGCATTTAGATTTGTTCGTTATAGTTTTATTTAAAGTTTTTTAAAGTTTTTTTTTACACTTTTAAATCTTATCTTTAAGGAGCCTTTATAATTGAAAATATATATAGCTATTTCCAAATGAGATATAAATCACATATACATGTATTACATTTAGATTTACCTGAATAGTTTTTGAAAAGTTTTTTTAAAGTTTTTTATCTTATCTTTTAAAAAATTATCATCTTTTTAAAAAGAAAAACTTGCTGCTCTATATCTACTTGAATGTAAAAAAAAATAATCAAAAAAAACATCGTTTAAAACATTAAAAAACGGGAAAGAAAGTTGGCAAAAAATAAAATAAAAGTTACTTTTTATAACAAGATGAAAAAAGAATTGATCGTGATTTGGTCAACGGTCAACACTCCCCCGGTTCAGACTACCCCACAAACCGCTACGAAATAATTAAGGACTCTATTTTGGTTTCGATTGTTTTCGAATTTATTTCCATGAATGTTTTACGATTTTTCATAAATATTGTAGTAGTGATGTAATAATATTTGTTTTTTTCCCGATGAAAAAAAAACAGTTTTTTATTTTTTTTTAAAAAACACCTAGTTAGATTTTTTTTTTTTTAATTCACCGAAATAATTTTTTTTTAAAAAAATTAACCGATTGAAATTTATTATAATTTTATTTTTTTTAAAAATTTAATTCGATTCGATGGAACGCCACGAAGCATCCGAACAAAATAAACGGTTTGGCGCCTCAAAATGGGAAGCGGCCGGAGATCGAAAGTTTGACGGATGCGGATGGCGCACTTTTCGACCTGGACGATATGGTGCTCGACGTCATGGATGACAACGATCATGTATATTGCCTTAAATTATTTACGTTAGTTAAGTCATCTACAAGCTAGGCGCCGTATATTTAAAAGGTTTTATGATAGGTTAATTTAAAAAAAAATCACGTGTTCGAATAATAGCGATCGATAAAAATTTTTTAAAAAATATTTTCGCGCCTATTTCCCACGCGATTTAAATAGTACATGGTCCGCGAAACGCATCCCGCTTCGGTCCGCTAAGAATTCATTTTAATCACGCTAGATGAGATTAGGGTTCTGTAGAGGAAGTATTTGAAAATAATGTAACACTTAACCCTCTCACCCCTAGCGGGGTAAATTTTTATTTTTGGATCCCAAATGCCAATACAAATTGTTTAAAATGAAAGAAGTATTATTATGAATGACCTCTCACTCATCGAAATGTGTTGGGGGCGGGGGAAGGGTACTAGAATTGGTAAAAAGCCCGATTCGGGTCGGTTTTAAAAACCGGCCGGATTTAGATTATAACCGAAATAACATTGCCCATAGCTGGCGGAAATGCTTGGACATCTGTTCGCTAAATCTCGATGCTATAATACTTTTTTTTAGGGTAAAATCTTAATCGGGCCGGTTTTGAAAAATCTAATCCAAATCAACAACACTAGAGGAGGGTACATTCCTGATTATCACAAGACAAATTTTTTGATTCATCTGTTATCACTAGTTTTAAAAGGGCTAACTCAATATTTCATCCAGCAAAAATATTACGCAAGCCTGAAGATTTTGCTCGTAGAAGGAACGAAGGTTCTAGACATTCGAAATCTCGAGGCTTAAATAATATTTTTCTGGCCTAAATAGTGAGTTAGCCATTTTGAAAAATCGGCTGAAAACGAGCCATTTTACAACACTAGTTATCGACAAATAAAGCAAAAATTTCTGATTCGACCACCATTTTTTTTTCGAATAAATATCTGTTAGTATCCGATATTCAAATCAGATTGAATTTCCAGATTAGAAATAGCCTAAGCGATATCTACCTCGTATTTTTTTATATAAATTCAATATACTATATCTTTAAAAAAATGTAGAAAATACCCTCCTCTTCCCCCCATCCCCCAAACGATAAATTCAAATTTATGCCAATTTTTTTTCGAAATTCTAGTATTCTCATTTAAATAAAACACCTTAATTTATAATCCAAAGGTATTCGTCACATTCACAACCCAACCGGAAACTCGAGATTCATCTTCCAAAATTACGGCCAATCAAAATGAAGGTAGTAGTGCGAACGTCGTCAAAAACACTTTCAACAAAAACAACCCATTTTTCAGCGAGTTTTTTGACGAAAGTTCGTCGTCCACTTTTTCCTCCTTCTCCTCCTCCTTCCGGTCCGCCACCAATGATCAATCGCTGCGTCCAAAAATCGATCATCAATCAATAATTCAGATACCAATAATCGACAATCAACCGATTAATGGGGCCCTCCTCCCCCATCCCGTAACCAATCATGTTGATGCAAACCGAATCGACAATCGATCAATAATTCGCGTGGCGACTCCTCTTCCAATAATTAACAATAACGCCGATCATCATATTGACAGGAAATCGATAATGGACAATCAAACTCTTTTTGACGACGACCTCGATTACCTGTATTCCCAGGTGGTGAAAAGGAAGTCCCCCCTCGCCATGAATCACGTGGAACAAGGTGAAACAGCAAGCTTCCTATTACCCCAAAAAGTAGGTGAAACACCTGATTCATTATACCCCAGAATCGAGGGGAAGGGAGCGGAGGACGAAGCGGAGATGATATACGCGTTCCCTAGTTACGTGTCCGAAATTGAGATCAAAGACGACACAGACACCCTTTCCTCTTCCACTAATAAAGGTAAATTATAATACGGCACGTCAGCCCTTCTATTATGCATAACCGCCTGTCACGTGATTATTAATAGGGTCCCAAATTCTTTTTAGTGCTTTGTTAGGGCCGAACAAGAATATAGATATCGATGATTACGATATCATCGATTCTATTGATTCCTAAAGTTAAAGCGGCCTGGAATTTAATTATCATTTCGGGATTTATTGATCTTTAGTGTCGAGATTCACCTATATAAGTTCGGCAACGAAAGAGAATAAAGAAATTACGTAAGAGATAGAAAAAGAAAGAAAGAACATTTATAAAATGATATAATTGACTGAGAATCTAATGAACATCCTCTTTTTGCTTTTAGAATTGTACCTACGAAGGAATAGCGACCCGTTTGCAGATTACACTATAATATCTTCGCATCCTTCCACTCTTAAAACCCAAAGTATTCATGAAATCTTACTATAAATTACGCTTTATATAAAAAAAAAACATTTTAATAATCGGAGATGAATCTTGTCGGCCACTCGTAATGTTAAAACCTAATGACGAACAAGGATCGATAACCCATAAATCATAATGTTGATTAATATATTTCAGAGACCTGCAGGCCCGACCTTAAGCCCGGATCGGGCCGGTTTCTAGCCGGGCCGGCCCGAAATTGATATGTAGAGATTTTTTTTATATCTCCTTAAAGATAAGTTATATATTATGTGATTGTTTATGTCATTGCGTTATTTTTTTTTTTCAACTTTAAATCGTTTTTTATTTTGAGCGCGTGTTTTTTTTTAAAAAAAATTTTAAAATTTTTATTTTTCCGGAAATGGATTTCCCATCGGAATTCCTACCCTATAAATTCTAGACAATTTCACGGCAAACCTTTGAAGTCGATTGTAATTTATGTTAGATTTTTCCCATACATATTTTTTTTATTATAAATTATAAACGATTTCCAAATGTTAACCAGCAAAATTGTCTGGAATTCATAGGGTAGGTATTCCAAACATGATACAAATATTTTTTACACCCGGCGGGGATTCCGAATCTCTGGATTTTAAATCCTTTACCGAGAGCCGTTTAAAAAAAACGGAAATGGATTCTGGCATGTGTAGAGTATTCACCCTAGAAATTTGAGCCAATTTTGCCGTGAACTTTTAGAACTCATTTTAAATTTCCGTCGGAATTCAATACGCAAAATAGAGGAGTAATTGTGCTCACAAATTGAACGCTTCAACTAGTGTTGTTAGACGTCGCGTTTCGAGCCGATTTTTAAAAACGGCTGACTCAAATATTTTGGCCAAAGAAATATTGCCTTTCCGCTAATAGATGTCCAAAACCTATGTTCCTTCTGCAAACAAAATCTTCAGGCTAGCTTAATATTATCCTGGAAGAAGTATCGAGGCAGCCGCTTTTAAAGATCGGCGCAAAACGAGCCGTTTAACAACACGCGTTTCAACGCAGCTGTTCAAAACGCGTATAAAAAAAGCGTAAACACGGCTAAGTTTATAATTGGAACCTTTAAACCCCCCCCCCCCCCCACACAAAAAAAAAATGCTGTCCATTTAAAAATTTATTATTTGCGTTTTTTGAAACGTCGCGTCGAAACGCTAAATTTGTGCGCGCTATATAAAATGAAACCGAGCCTATAAATGTTAATGACAATATATTTCGAATTCTTTTTTAATCTAAAGCTCCGACTATGGGAAAACGTTCGTCCTCTACGTTTATATTGAGCGCTCGCCGTTCCTCCAGACATTTCCATCCGAATTTCTACGAAAATTTATTCGACCTTTGTTCGAATAATGGAGGAAGCGTCTATCAAAATTCGTCTTACGATAATCTCTCATTGAACAACCAATGCGAATATTACGTAAAATGAATTTTTTATTGGTCGAGATAAATAAAAAATAATAAAATGTATGGCTGGCTGCTCCATTTTATCGATGGTTTTGTTCAGTTATAGCGACGTTTTAAAGGCGAAGCGTTAGGTCCGCCTCAGAGTAAGCCAAATGAACCCGGTTTCCGCTAGTACGGCGCAAACATAAAAGGCAAAATTACGTTAAGAATTCATCTTTCTTTCTTTCTTAAAGAATAGTTTCAACCAGGCATAAAACCTTAGATAAATAATATCTTGATTATTTAGTATAAGAGCCCCCATTTTGGGAAAAAACATATGTTTTTTATTTATTCCTTTCTTTCGAGGTTAATCAGACCAAAGAAGAGTATCATATGTTTGAAGAAAATATATGACATGACTTAAAAAGGAAAACATGTTGGGTAAATGCTTCATTTTTATCCGGCTAAAAAATGACTAAACCGATTTTTAGCCGAAAAATGACCCCAGCCTCGGTCAACTTTTAACAAATGGGAAATATATTAATTGTGCCTTAACGCTTAGCGAACGGGTTTCTAAACGGGTTTCTACTGATTTAGGGTATATCCCAACTATAATAGTTTTTCGCTCATAAAACATGACTTAATCATGTTCAAATTAGCGAGACTCAGTTGCTATGAATTTTTTAAAAAGAGTATTTTGTCTTTTTAAATAGCAAAACGATCCTCTGACAGTGACGATCCAAAATACCGACACTCGAAGCAACGGTGGCCGCCATCTCGGAATCCACGTGATCCCTCCCCCATCCTTTCGCACTAAGGTCGGAATAGGAGGCGGCGGCGGTGGTGGTCTTATGATACACAAAATAGAAAATGGCGGGCTAGTGTATAGAGATGAAATCCCGATAAAAATCGGTGACGTCATATCCGCTATCAATGGCGCTTCTCTCGAGGGGAAAAGCTTTAAAGAGTTAAGAGTGCCATTTTATGTCTTTTCTTTTTTGTTTTTAACTTTCTTTCTTTCATTTTATTTGTTTCTTTATTTTCATTACCCAATTTTCACTATATTCGATTATAAAGTCTCTCTATTTATTACGATGTTTCAATACAGATTTCGGTCAAAATGTGATCAGGATGAGAGATCTGCAAAATTACCGACCCGGTTCGAACGGGCTTCGGTTGGTGCTGGGTCGGGCCGAATATTTTTAAAAAAAATTCGCACCGGATCCAGTCGGGCCTTGGAATTTTTTTTTAAAATATATCTAATTTTATCAATTTTATGTTGAATTTTTTATGTAAAATAAAAAAAATGTGATTTTATTTATAGAAACTGGACGCCATGTGATATACAATTTTGAATAATTATAAAAACAAATTTCTATTTTTAAAAAAATTCGGGCCAGGCTTGAAAAATTAGACCCGATGCAGATCACTAATTAGGATTATATCATAATATTTTTCATCCATTTTCGATTCGGAAAAAAAACCCGCCAAAAATTATAACGTTCTCTTCCCATTCCATTCCAAACTTAGTTTTAAAAAAAATTAAAATAGTTTAAGAAAAAAAGAAGGAAAAGAAACAATATAACATCTTTGAGCTCTTTAAATCTAGCATGCAATTTTAATATCAGCATTTAAAATAATCTAAATATAAATTATTATTTTACGAAATATTTGCTTAGGTGCCTGGGAATTTTTAAGGAAGGAATATCTTCAGGACAAATCACGCTCGAATATCGAAGACGCGAACGTAGAATTCTGTCGCCGGATATCGTGGATTCAAAATATTCCACTAGTTTTATTTTTTGCTAAACGTTTAATACTAAAAAAATCCTATCCGATTATTTATCATATTATTAAATCATCAGTTATAATTTATAAGCACTTCTAAGGGTTCGGTCCATAAATAATCTTACGACCTTTTTTTTTCATTCATTTGTCTTTTTTTTTAAATTAAAAACATATGTTTATATTTACCCAGATGCGGAGGACCATTGTACGGGAACACTCACTTGCCCCCCTTACAAGAATGACGACATCAAAGTTTGTATTAAATCAAGAAAATAATTAATAGTTTACGAAATATTTTGGGAAAATAAGGGAGATAAAAGAAGACTAGATGTTAATCATCGTAGATTAAAATGTACGGTAGATAGAACTATTGGATGCCAACGGTCCGATCCTATCCATCTTAAACCGAACCCAGACCAGAATCTATTGACGCGTACTACGAGTCACACCCGCTCCCCCATCCTTAACGTTATAACTGTATTTTACAATAATGTAATGCGAAGTGTCGAGATGGACCCTTCCCTATCACGCACATTAGTTTAATTATATTTTTTTCAAAAAAAATAAAGGAAATACCATTAGAAGACGACCCTAAGGCGGAAGTGAACCAAGACAAGAGGAGCCATAAAAATGGTAGCCAAATGTCATTGCTCGCTTTCAGGATCCCCTTATTCCATCAATCCCCTCTCAATGGCAACACACAATTCTTCAACTCCTTGGGAGTCAGCGTTAAAGGTTATTCACACATTTTTTAAAAAATAAAACTTATCTATTTCGCAATATACCACGAAATATTTCAAACATTATCTTTTTGGGGGGTGTCGAAGCTTAAAATTTAAATTTGAGCATATTAATTATTATTTTTGCCATTTAATATTTATTAAAATTTTAAAAAATTATTTACAAATTTACAGAGTTGTTAAAAGATACTTTTTAAATGGATCTAGATACAGATACAACGTCTAAAATAAAATCTAGATACAGATTATTTAATCAAAAATCTATCTAGATACAGATACAGATACCACATTTTTATATCTAGATACAGGATCTAGACACTTGTATCTAGATCCTTTAACAACTCTGCAAATTTATAACTACGCCTGATACTTTCCGACAATAATTCCGCGGTCACCATAATGATAATGTCACGTGATACAATTTTATAGCGTTGCCTGAACGGCTTGGTTTTGAGCCGCTTTTGGAAAACGGCTAACTCTCTATTTCCGCCAGAAAAAAAAATTGCTTTAGACTCCAGATTTCGCTAATAGATGTTTAGACGTTTCATAAATACAATTTTTATATTGTACAAATTGGTTTTTTTTTCAGAATTAGATCTAATCGTTACTCTTAGAAATGCTAAAATTTGACTGAAATTAAAACTCAAAACAAAAACTTTCAATTATTTTATATGATAGAAAAATTCGCGAAATGATGGCTCTTTTTCGCAAAAAAAAAATGAGCGAGATCTTCAAACTTGCGTAATATTCTTCTGGATAAAGTACTGAGTTAGCCGTTTTAAAAAATCGGCTCAAAATGACCCGTTTAAACAACACAACAATTCTAAAAAAAAAATGTAATATATCTCTTTTCCGAAATCAATGGAAAAACGTCCATAAACGTCAGTTATAAATAGACAGATACAACATTTTTTTGATCGATTATTTATATATAAAAAGATTGTCATTTCAAAAGTGAGGGTAGTCAATAAATGATATTACTACGTTGAACGTTATCGGAGTTTTAGATAACGTCGTTAATCCTTATTAAGGACAGGTGGGATGATTTTTTTTGTTTCTGAAAACTGACACTCGCAGGTGGCTACGGCGAAGAGGACAAATGACAACAAATTAAAATCAGAGAACGCTAAGACTAAAAGTGATTGGACGAAATGTTTAAATGCTAATTTTAAAGGATTTTAGAAGGGAATTATTTTGGAAGGATGGGGAAGATTTAAAGTATTTTTTAAGTGGGTAGGTGAAGAAGAAGATTGTTTAGGGAATAAAAAAAAGTGATGGGACCAAGTTGCCAAGAAAAAAATTGACAAAAAAGATGTCGAATAACCGGTAGTAGAACCTAAAACTTATATAATTCCTCAGGGAGAAAAGTTTTAAAATCTGGGATATCTCCCATTTTGTTGATGTTAAGGGCTAATTTTAAAGGCCTCCAACTCGACATTTTCGATTTGTCGAGCAGGAACGAACTCCTATGAATGCTCAAAGGCCAATTCCGAAGTCCGACTATAAAGAAACCCTTATCGGACTCAGTAATTTATAAAATAATATGCGCAACGTGAGAAACCAATTCGCAGCCACCCCCTTACTCCTGAATCTAACTGGAATGGGAATAGGAAGGAACAGTTTATTTCTTTAACAATTAAAAACAAACGAATGGATCCAGAAAATAAAATTTAAATATTTAATATTTGATTTTTTTTTAAAAAAAAACATTCCCTTACAGATAAAAAACAGAATGATAATTTTTTTACATTTTATATTGTTTATTCCAGGGATGTGAACCCAAACAAACCCCAGGTTCAGGAAATTTAAAATTGTTTGGTTGGGCATTTTGAAACCACAGGACAAATAGAAACCGATTAAAGGACAACTCATCCCGGGGTAAAATGGACCTGGGGCAGGTTCGGCCCACTTAGGAAATTGGTACGATTAAGTTCCTGTTATCAAAATTTATATTAAATGAAATCTAAAATTCTTGAACACGGGTTAGGGTTCACATCCCTGGCTTTATTCAGAAGAAAAATGTACCAAAACCATTGGGAACTAATATTAAATTTACACAGCTAATCTATTCTCATTCCACGAGGAAAATTAGGCACATTTGGTTTCATAGAACTGTTGTGTATGATAGTTAAAAGTTGAGAAATAGAAAGATTTTCAAAAACCTATGATTTCATAGAAGGGAAAGAAATTGTTTTTTGTTAAATTTAATTTAGTAATATATAAAAAAAAAGAAAAATTATTTTTCCAAATAAATTTTTTTAAAAAAATACAAGGTAAGACGGCCATTTTGCGACAGCAACAAAGTAAAAATCCTGAAACAAAAAATCATAAAATCGGCGGAAACGACGAAGGCAAATTATTGCAAGAGCGAGATTTAGGGATTTTTGTCAAATCGGTCATTCTAAACGGAGCAGCTTATTATGTTAGTCATTGTTGTAGTGACATGTCAATCGAAAGTGATCTTTTGAATGAGTTTTTTTTCTTAGTTAGATATTAACGAAAAAGAAATATCATATGTTCGAGAAAGGTTTGTCTTCAAATACGTATTCGTGTAGTGAAATAATAATGTAATGTATAAGAAGTTCGATCGTTTTATGATGCAGATTATATATATATACTATTAATAATGTTTCATTTTAAGATTTCAGGTTTTAAATAATAAGTTTTATCTTTTAATAGTCGATTCTAAGTGTTGTTAAACAGCCACGGGTTGAGCCGAATTTTTAAAAACGTTTTTAAAACTCAATGATTTTGGCCAGGAAAGTAAAAATTGCCTGAGCCTCGAAATTTCGATGATATATGTCTAGGGACCTCTGTTCCTTCTACGAAGAAAATCTTCAAGCGTGGCGTGATATTTTTGCTGGATAAAATATGAGTTGACCGTTTTTTTTAAATAATCGGCTCAAAAAGTAAGCCTTTTTACAAACACTGGTCGTTATTAGACCAGGGCACCCGAGACATAAGTCCGCCATGACTCTTTGTCTATTTTTTTTTATAGACGGTTATCGTCGGCCTCGCCGCTTAATCAATTGGCGGTGCACTCTTTTTCCTCGTGGAACTCTTATAAATTTATGTATTTTTTTTCCACGTCAATTATATTTTTTTTTCGATTTATAAGCTTGATGTTTAAGACAAATTTATAATATTATAGGAGATGTTTTGACGTTATTAATCCAGTTATAGAAAAGATTTTTTTTCGCTAGCTTATTTTATGGCGGGTATTTAAAGAAACTACTAATCCACATAGCTAGTTTCTTAGAATTCCAGTCGCTTTTTTTCTAGGTAAAAGGAATAGCGCTGCATCTTGTTTCTGATACAGTGGATGTTGACTAAGGAAAACCATTATTGTTTAGTCTATTAAGAATCTTTTATTTAGGATGAATGCTTTCCAGCTGTTTTTGCAATTTTATGATTATGTTTGAGCCTTGTCTACAATTCCTATGTCATTGCTGTTTTAGTTCGTTCATTTTTAACAAGGAATTATTTCATAGTTTTACAAACAAGGTGTTTTAAATCGCTTTGAGAATTCATTAAAATTTATTATATAAATGATTTGATATCAATTAAAAAATTCATATTTAATTTTTTTTTTTTTTTTTAAATATATTAAAAATGTTAAAAATAATAAATTTAATATAATAAAAAAAATAAATATAAAAATATAATGAAATAGCATTTATAAAAACAAATATTCCGCCATCATATAAAAAATTGGCCTGCGAGCCTGTCAACGCGGCTCAAATCAAAAATTGACGGCGGCGTAATCGGCGGCGCGCGGGTCTAGGCGTTATCAATCCATCTATATTTTCTAATTTCATTTATTTTCTTGCCCTCAAAAACCTAAGGAAATACTCATGTGAAAAGATTAATTTTTTTATACACTAAAATCCTTATTGTAAAATATGCATAATTTACCTCATTTTTACCATCTTTTTTAAATAAATTTGAAATTTACAATAAATTTAAAAATGTTAGTTAAAAAAAAATCTTTTGAACATCCATACATTAAAATATATACTTTGGGAAAGTTGAGGCGATTGTGCGATTGTTGAATAGTCACTCATTTAGCAGCCAAAGATAACAGCTCTCTTTGTAATAAGCATCTTTCTATATACTATAATAATGCTAAATTTGGCCATTTAAATAAAACATATTTTTCAGGACAATCGACTGAAGGCGGAAGACCGAATAGTTTCGGTTAACGGCGAAGGTCTGATCGGATTGAGTAATGTAGAGGCTATGCACAGACTTACGGCCACCATGAAAATGGCCGCTCATCACGAATCATTCCCGGATGCACCTCCCATAAAATACCGAATGGTCGATGTGCGCGTGTTCAGGAAGACGGGAGTGGATGTTAATTGTCTCAAACGTGAGGATCCCGCCGATGTCAAAGTGATTTGTGCCACTCATTAATAAATATTTCGTATATAATCTTTTTTTTTAAAATAGGCATTAACTCCTCCAGATATAAATGGCGAAAACGATTCTAAAGACAACGATTCTTCCGACGAAACAGCCGTAAATCATACCGCTTCCACCAATCAAAAGCTCAGGAGGACGAAGTTGTGCAACGAAAGTTTTCGGGCCGCCATTGATCTCAATTTTGACATCAACAAATTTCGAGGTATGGCATAGTACCCTTATTTGTAATTCACGGGTAACATAGAGAGAGAGAATGACAATTAGAAACATTTGTATTTAAAATTTTAAAAAATGGTATCTAACCTTGATAACAGTAATACTAACCTAGATTGACGATTCATTGTCATATAAATGACACCTTGTCTAAATGCCTCACGCTATGTGGTTATTAATTTAATATAGTTGTAGTCTCACGATGTCCCGATTATCAAACATCCTGGAGTCTGCTAATTAGGCCCGATTTCTAAATTTAAACACCTTCATCTTTAAAATCCTTTATTTTATATTTCACGTATCCTCTCTTCTCCTTTCCCTTACAAATTAGTTTGAAATATAATTAAGCTTGTTTTTTGGGGGTATGGGGTATGATTGTGTAATAAAAATAAAATATTTTTCTTTTAATGATCTTTCGGTCTTATCTGGGGTATCTGATTTTCAGTTTCAATTTCTTTCTTTCTTTCTTTCTTTCTTTAAATATTGAAACATCTCGTGATCATATTCATAATTTTTCACCCAACCAAATTTATACACCTTTATTTTATTATATATATCTAAATTTTAGTAAAATGATTATACCGAAGGTACCTGCATTGGGTTCGGTTTTGAATAATTTTAGCAAATCTCTTTTTTTTCATATTGACTTTGACTAATTGACATCTTTTCCAGATGACTGCATAAAATTTAACAAAATTTATATAAGAACTGTTGTAGCTGTTGAAAAAAAGAAGAAATAAATTTAATATAATACATCAAATGTCAGTTGTTTTCTGACAGGGAAATTAGTTTTCCTGGTGGATGGGAGGAAAACGAAATTATGACATGGGTTGTTTTTAAAAAGTTTCTTTGTTTGCTATATGGAGTGAAGATATTGGATGAAGACGGGATTGATTGGGGAAGATTTAATATGTTTATATGTTATATATACATGAATAAAGTGGAATTGTAGTAATGTTTATTATATTTATTTAATATTATCAAAGGCATTATTTTGGATTGATAAGTTATATTGTTGTGAGGGAAGGGTTGAGAGTAAAGGGCATTTGTCACCCAACTCAAATTTATTTTATTAGATATATTCTAAATTTTAATAAAATGATTATTCCCGAAGGTACCTGCATTGGGTTCGGTTTTAAATAATTTTAGCAAATCTTTTTTTTTCATATTGACTTTGACTGATTGACATCTTTTCCAAATGACTGCATAAATTTTGACAAAATTTATACAAGAACAATGAGCTTTATTGTTTTCTCTATTGTTGTGCGATACAAAGCGTGCCAAGAAGGTAAAGCCAGTTCGCTCCCCATCGCCGACAAAATACCTAATCCCGCCGATTCGATATTCTCGTCCAACGTCAAGGATAAACGTTTCGAACTAAAAAACGCACAAATTAACAGTCCCTTATGGCCTACTACCAATAGGCCTACGCTTCCATCCATATACACGGGTAAAATTTTTTTAAGGAGAGGAAATTAATATAAATAGGAAATTTCTAAAAATATAAATTAATTTTCCTCCTCATTTCCCACCTAAAAGGGTTAAGAGGCGACAAATGGAGGAGCGAAACGCGAATAAATAAAACGAATATCGTCAAAAAATCTAACTCCAAGTTTTCCTTTAAAAGTATCGGGTCCGTTCTCAAGTAACACATTTTAAATATGTCTTTTTAATATTTTTTAAAAAAAAATAGTACAAAAATTTTAAACTTATAATAATTTCAGAAAAAAAATATAATGATTGACATAACCTATAATAAATTAATTGATAAAAAATTTAATCAATACTTACGATATACTTTTGTTCGCAATAAATTTTTTTCTTGGGTGGGGGGTGGCAAATTGTTTATTTAACTGTTTGTAAGAGAGATGATCAGCTGATACTTTCGATTTTAACCGCTATCCGCGGGTACCCATATCGGCTAAAGAAGGCGTGCATCTCTTTCTCTTGATTCCTTATTTTTATTTTTGTAAATGCCCATTTTTTTTATTTAGAAAAATAAAAGTGGATAACAACGCGGACAAAAAATGTGGCGAATCGGAAAGAAGCAAAAATTCCATCTTATTTATCCGGAAAAAGGCCCTAGCCCATTCCATCGAATCGGTTCATTTCGACGATAAAAGTTTTTTCAAAATCAAATTAAAATTTTGTCGTATAATAAATAACGTACGGAAAGAAATGTTGTATTTACCTTACCCTTAATTCATAGTGGCTCGGCTATAGCCATCTAACAGCTGACAGTTTTTTTTTCAAGATTACTATTCATAGTGGCTCGATTGCTATAGCGATCTAACAGCTGACAGTTCTTTTTTAAAAATTTGCTTTACCTTGGATTCATAGGGGCTCGGTGATAGCGACAGCTGACAGTTTTTTTAAAAAAATTACTTTACCTTGTCCATAGTGGCTCGGTGATAGCGATCTAGCAGCTGACAGTTTTAAAAAAAATTTACTTTGCCTTGAATCCATAGTGGCTCGGCGATAGCGATCTAACAGCTGACAGTTTTTTTAAAATAATTACTTTACCTTGTATTTATAGTGGCTCGATTGCGATAGCGATCGAACAGCTGATAGTTCCTTTTAAAAAATTACTTTACCTTGTCCATAGTGGCTCGGCGATAGCCATCTAACAGCTGATAGTTCTTTTTTAAAAATTACTTTACCTTGTATTCATAGTGGCTCGATTGCGATAGCGATCTAACAGCTGACAGTTTTTTTAAAAAAATTACTTTACCTTGTCCATAGTGGCTCGGCGATAGCGATCTAACAGCTGATAGTTTTTAAAAAAAATTTACTTTACCTTGAATCCATAGTGGCTCGGCGATAGCGATCTAACAGCTGACAGTTTTTAAAAAAAATTACTTTACCTTGTCCATAGTGGCTCGGCGATAGCCATCTAACAGCTGATAGTTCTTTTTTAAAAATTACTTTACCTTGAATCCATAGTGGCTCGGCGATAACGATCTAACAGCTGATTTTAAAAAAAAAAACTGTTTATGAGATCCAATTCTTCTTTATTAAAATCATTATTTCTTAGATTATTATTTTTTGAATCGAATTGGAATTGAAGATTAAAATTAATATTGACAAATAAAAAAACTGATCCTCATAAACAGATTTTTAAAAAAAAAATCGATCAGCTGTTAAATCGCGATCTCCGCGCCACTGCGAATTCAAGGTTAGAGTTGATTGGCAAAAAAAATTTAGTAAGAGCGCGGTATAGCGAAGAAAGGAACAGCGCAAAATTGGGAATCTCGCTCACATCTCTACAGGAAATTTTATTCGGGAAATCAGATTGGGGGACAAAGATGATATTTCCTCCATTTTTAGAATTTTTTTCCCGGGTTTTATAAATTCAGAACTGGCCCGAATTTTTTAAAAAATATTGATTTTTATAGCTAATAATGGCGATTTCAAATATTTGGTTTCAAAATATACGGCCCGGCCCGGTTATTTTTTTATAAAATATTTTCAAGTCTAAACCAACCCGGGTATATTTTAAAAAAATTAATATAGGGTATCGGCCCGTCTACCCCGGCTAGGCTTAGGGCCGGGCTTGCAGATTTCTGATTTAAAATAGATGATAAGTTTATTTCCCTAGCATCTATTAATATCAATTTCAAATTTACGTTGAAAATTTTCTAGGAGATATAAGCCAGATTCCCAATTTTTCGCTCTGTTTCTTTACCCAAAATTGGGCAAGAATTGTCGTTTTTTTTGGTACAAATGAAAAATTGACATTTTTTTTTGCATTTATATAATAAAATAAAAAATACGATTATTTGCCCTAGAAAAAAAAATAAGTCTCGAGAAATATATTAATATACCAGAATTGATTAGATAATCAACGGTGTATATTTGTAATATTTATACTAATCTTAATGTTAAACAAATGTTGGATGATTTCAAATTTAACTTATTTTGAACTCTGATGTCGGCTAGGTTTAACTGGGCCATTTACACATTGAGAATAATGGTAATCATGCCTTATTTTACACACTTCGTTTAACTCCTACGCTTCATTTCAACGATGAAGCTTAGCACTCTCTATGAATTTGTATACACTAAGATAAAAAGAAGTTATGTATTATTTTATAGTCAAAACAATAGATTCTTTAAAATTGTTTCCTATATATAGTCTTTTATAATTATGTCATTTAACTTCTACCAATATGCAATTACATTGACCTCCATAAGATAATATAAAATGTAAGAAATATATAATTCAAATAGCGTAACCTTTTAAAATATATATAAACATTCAAATATAACATATTATGCAGAGTTGTTAAAAGATACTTTTTAAATGGATCTAGATACAGATACATTGTCTAAAATAATATCTAGATACCGATATTTTAATCAATTTTAATCAAAAATCTATCTAGATACAGATACAGATACAACATTTTTATATCTAGATCCTTTAACAACTCTGATATTATGTAACAAAAATATAAATTATAGTTTTCCCAGGAACCAAATCGTATCCCGTATCTACCGAATCTCGACTTCGCGACGATATCTCTAAAACCAATAATAACGGAAATTTAATGTGCGAAAGAAAGTAAATATGGCGCCCAATTATTGGCGCGAATATAAAGATGAATAATATTTTGACATTTTTTTTATATATAAAAGCGTAAATGTTTAATATAGAATAAGGTTGAATACAGTTTTTTTTAGGAACCGGTCCCAACAAAGGTGCAATTAATATATTTATATATCGTAATGGGATATGGAATCGATGAGGATTTGGAAATTTATCGACATTTACCGGTTGATTTTTAAAATTTAAAAAAATCGGACTTGATCGGAAATGTATTTCATGTATAGATACTTACACCGAATTTCAAAACAAAATTTAGAATAGTTTTTATTGATAGGATTTGTATTACGAATAATTTTTCATAAAAGTTTTAACAAAAAATTTACAAAGGTTAACGGGATAAAATTGTCTGAAATTCGTAGGAGTTGTACTCTACGCATGCTGGAATATTTTCTATTAAATTGTAATTTAAATAATTAGTGTCCTGGTAAATGAATTAAAATCGATGCACTTAGATTCCACATTCCGATGCGACATATATATTCATTTTGCTAAAAAAAATTTTAATTGCTTTGACAAAATTTGAACTCTACTTGGAATCCTCGGAATCGCTCCAAGTTTAAGAACCAGAACCCACTTATAACATTAGGAATTAGAAATGTTTTTTTTTTCCCAAACTCTAATAAAACGATGAATATAGCTGACGATGTTACCATACATATATATTATTATGTAATAAAAAAATTAAAAGACGCCGCCCTTACAGTTCTTACTATCCGAAGGAGCTGAATCTCGACAACATAAATTTGTCCAATCAAAACGATAAGAGGCCCCCCAATGTCGAAAAATTTCGCGAAAATATGTACGAAAATATTGTGCCAGCAGAGAAAATTAGCTAAATTTATTTTTTCTCCTCAATCGTATTACTATTGTCCACATTCTATTTAATTTTCCGATGGCAATTTTAAAACTATAAAATGGAATGAGATTCTTTTGGTCAGCAACTGTTCAACTCTTATAAATTATATATATATTTTTTTAAATGAGCTCAAAATCATTATTTTTATTTATTCTGAAACATATTTTATATCCCCAAGGAATCAATGTTTTACTCTCGAATTTTTTTTTAAAAATAAATTTTATTTATCTTTAGCCAAAAAAAAATTCAACATTCCAACTATACGATTATAGAAATGTATTTAATTTTTTTTTTTTAAATAGACTAGTATATATATATATATTGCATCATTTATATTATAGTAATTGCGAAATAAATTTTTTTTATACATTTAAAACCTTATTATTGGTATCGTAAGTATTATGATAATAATTTGAGAACAATTACATACATATTTTAAAAAAAATTTATCATTATAAAAAACATGAGAGATAATTAGCCAAATGGGTTATTTTAGGAAGAAGGATTCATTACACTAGTGTTGTTAAACGACACAATTTGAGCTGATTTTTTTAAAATTGGCTAACTCAACCATTATAGCCAGGAAAATATTGCCTATAAGCATGAAGATTTCGCCAATAGATGCTCAATCCTATGTGACATCTATTAGCAAAATCTTTAGGCTTGCATAATATTTTTATTTGTCTATATATAAATTATATAACTTTCCATCATGGTAATAAATTTCTGTTATTAATGGCATTATATGAAGCTGATATACTGAGTTGAATCATTTTTTTTTCTATGGTGGTGGAGTTTGTTGGTTTTCTTTTCTGCTTCTTTTAGATATGATTTATTATATTGATTATAAATGCTTAAATGACATCTATTTTTTAAAAATAAATAAATAATATATACTATTATAATACAAAATTATTATATAAATAATACACTTTAAATATGTTTAACAAAATTCATAGAGTTCAACCCTTTATCATTTTTTTGTTTGTACAGGTCTGACATTCGTGCATTGCCATTTTTTCTTATTTTCCATCTAAAATTTTAAGCGGACTGATTTGATACAGGGGAACTTATTTCAATATTTCCATTTTTTACTACCTTCTTCACTATCATGAGTGTCAATCATTCTATAAATTATAAATATTACATAAAATTGGTAATGATATTCTATCTAGTTACTTTATTTCGTTTTGATGCGGTTATTATTATCTATCTATCTTCAATGTGAGTTGTAAATTTTCCAGCTGACTTTGGTTGTTCAATATATTTTATATATGGCGAAAAAAAAATAAAGATATTAATACAAGATTACACGAAGAAAATAAGGTTATGTTGTGATGTGTAAATTTTTTAGACATGAATATTAAAAAGTATCTGTCGAGAATCTTTTCGGAATAAAGGATCTTGTATCTTAGAAGTATTCGCGGTACTGCCCAACTCTGCACTTATAGTGGTCGGGAGTAAGCTCTCTTCATCATATAACCATACAAAGTCTTTTTCATATTCACACCACCATGCCTAACCCATTTTTGGAACTTTTGCAGTTTACTTTGACTAGGTGGATTATTTAGAAGGATAAAGCAGCATCCATTCTTTTATTTGATTCGTCAAAATCTGCAATTGTCTTGTGTACCATATATTTTCAAACTAATTGGTTTACCACATATCTTGTATTTTTTAAAAAAATTTAAATTACTAATGTTACCTAGAGCATATTCAATAAGTTAAATGGCGGTTGTCTTTGATAACAAAGTTATTCGAGAATCTCTTTTCCTCGGATTTTGATTTTTCGGAAAGTTTCAGTTTCTCCTTTCCATTTTTGCCTCCTAAAAATAGCCAATTATAAGTGGTTTTTTTAAATTTAATTCATATAATCTCAAGAAAATTCCTTTAATTCAAATTCTCGTTTTCATAAAACTTTATTATCTTAAATATTTGTTTTTCTTAATCTGTCAAATCTTTTTATTTATCATTTTTAAAGCCATTTGAATTATAAAAATAATGTGGAAAAATGTAAATCAATCAAAACTTGACGTCCATTTAAACGGACGTATTTTTTTTATCCAATAAAATAAGCACTCAGGGCATGTATTGATATGGATATTTTTAAACTTGTAAAAGGAAATTTAATTTAAAGATATCAGCACCAAATAACTGATATGATGATGGATGGATGTCAAATAAGCCCTAGTTGTTCTACCTTAATATATAGTAAAATGAGTACGACCTGGCAGGGGGGGGGGGTTAAATATAAATATCTAATACGGTTACTCATATTCGAGCACAACAACACTAATATAAACAATCTAGTTTCATAAAATTTAAGTTAATTTATTGATTTCACGACTCAAGTACAGAACTCGAGTTATAAAAACAAGTCCACTATGAGTCGGGGTTAAGCCGACTCGACTGAGTCGTTTAACAACCCTAGTTTTGCAAATGACATTCAAAAGAAAGATGTTTTTTAAACATTATAGAATTGTGCGTTGGGTAGTCTATGTTAATATAGGTCTATGGGTGTAAGACATAAATAAACACATTTTGCCAATTTTAAAAACAATATAATTTAATATAATATATAGGTAAGGGGTTATGACTAGCTATTAACAAATATAAGGGGGGGGGGCGGGGGTATGACCAGTTAATAACATATGTTTTCCAATACGAGCTCATGCCCTCGATCATTTTTAAAATTACTTGATAATGGTTTAATTCTGAATTTTTAGGGTATTCCTCACAGCAATAACACATGTTATCAAATAACATAAAACTAAATAAATTCTAGAATATTCTATTAAATAATATTTAATAACGCTTAAAATATGTCTTTATTGTTAAAAATCGTTATTTATCAAATTTCTATTCTTAATCTAATAACAGTAAAATTATATATTATACACCTTATGATACGATTTAACAAATCAATTTAGTTTCAACAAATTAATCACTTGGGACATTATATCAATTTAACTCTAGTTAAAAATGGCGCGAAGGATTCAAATTGTAAATTTTTCATCATCAATGTAAAACATAAATATATTTTTTTTTGTTGTAAACTTGATTATAATTTAATTCTAATTTTAAAAAATAATTTCCAAATAGAAAGATTATATTTAATAACATTTCAGGATATATATATTTTCGCGGCAGTGTGTTATTTTTTCAACTTTCAATCATTTTTTGAGCGCGTGTTTTTAAATTTAAAAATCTGATTTTACCGGCGGAAATGTATGCTCGAATACCTACCCTATGAATTTCGTACAATTTTGCCATCAACTTTTGAGCTCAATATAATTTATACACTATTTTCCATGGATTTTTCCCATAAATTATTAAAATGACTCAAAATTTAACGGTAAAATAAAATTATCTACAATTCCTAATATGGGTATTCTTAACATGCTGAGATTTAAAGTTGAAAGTATAACAGATTTCCGGTAAAAACACGTTGCCCCTATCATGTATATAAAGATAAGTATTTTTAAATAAAAATTTTTATACAAATAAACATACCCTACAATGCTAATTTAATAAAATTACATATTTATTTAAAGCTTTTCAATTCGCAAATATAACCACATACCCTCCTTTCAAAATACTGAAGGCGTCACAAGCAGCTCGAGCTTGTCCTTCTCATATGATGTTGGAATTGAGTATTGGAGTTGACAAATTATTTTTGGCTCAGAACTTGACACTCGTTCCTAATTTAATGAAAGCCACTGAAATTGAAGTAATGTCCAAATTTTCAAATCAAAGATACTCGGCTAACGATATTGATTTCCCATGTTTCTACGAAACCAATCATTCATATGAAATTCCGACTAATAGTATTTTAATGGGCATATCGTCAAATTTTGAGAGCGTAAAAAAAATTATTAATTATGTATCATCATAAACTTGAGTTCCTGAAAATATAAATTCTTTTCCGAATTTAAGAGTTTCTACTATGCCTTTGATAGATTATAATACATCGCCAGGATTTTGATAAGAGGGAGGACGGTGCACCTTCTCTTCTCTTCTCTTCTCTTCTCTTCTCTTCTCTTCTCTTCTCTTCTCTTCTCTTCCCATCAATTTCTGGAAAAGGGTTATATCCTTACACCTCTACTCCCTTATTTAAGAATTTAATATAACTGTCACAGTATATCAATAAATGATAATTGTATAAAGAGGATGGGTTATCACGTGTTAAAAATATGCGATGAATTTTTATCAAAAAATTAAAACAACAACTTTCTTTCTTTCAATCTTAAGTTTTTCTGGCTTTTCATGTGATTAATGTTTAATTTTGAGTAAACTAGCAAGATGAAAGATATATTAGTAATTTATCAGGATTTTCATCTCTCATGCGTTTTATATTTTATTTATGAATGCTGCAGGTGAAATGAGGTTATTATTTAATTAGGCTTATGATTAAAGCTTGTTATATAATATTAGAAACAAATGCCAATTAAAAATCCTTTTAGATAAAAAAAAAATACAATACTAATATTAATATATATATATTTTTATCGCGACAAAATATCACATTAAGATTAATTCTCCAACTAAAGGATATAATATGATTGTAATTGTCAAGAATTGATTATATTTATGATTTTGTAGATACCATATTTAAGAACAAATCGTCATTTTCGCAATAAATATATATATATAAATAGCACTATATAATGAAATATTGACAAAGTTGATAATAATAATAATATATATTTAGATAATTCACATAATATTCCTGTCAGGCGATCTATTGACATTCATAGAGGTTCCCTGGACACATCACTTAAATATTGTTAGCAACGAATCTTCAGTCTTTTTTTATTCACCCACTAAAATCTTAAATGGAGATAAACTCATGTAGGTAAATATTTTATTTTCTTTTTCTAATCTCTTTTTTAATAAATTTTTTTTTCTAATACAGGAATCCCCCGAGCATGCGCAGTAAATAAATTTGTTTTTATATCTTATTTTTTTTTATTCGCCACAATTTCCCATTTACAAATTTATAGTTTTTTGAGATAAATAAAAATTTGTAATTGAGTTATGTTTGTTCAAGAAAATTATTTTTTGAAATTGTTATATAATACATACCTGGTTGTAATGATGAATCTGTATACAGAATTTTTTTATTAATAAAGGAAAGAAAGAAAGAAAGAGAAGAAAGAAAGAAGAGAAGAGAGAAGAAGAGAGAAGAGAAGAGAAGAGAAGAGAAGAGAAGAAAGAAAGAAAGAAAGAAAGAAAGAAAGAA